AAAGAAATGTTTTTACATAGTTTAGTGTCTAGGCTTTTGATTATTTAGTTTGCTAGATGGAGTAATGCTCAATTTTGTTGGATAATTTGGTATTACTTAATATAGAAGTATTTTTTTATTTTATTTTTAATGTTATTAAATATAGATGCTCACAAAAGAAATAATTTTCTAGATTTTATTTTTATGTGATATAGATTTACCTAATATTTATATACAAGAATCTTTTTTATATATGAGTTTTTTTATTTTTTATTTTTTATTTTTTATTTTGCGTGATTCATGAATATTCATAAACAATATATGTTATTAAATTGATAGATCAATATATTTGTTCGATAGCAAGGTCAAAGAGAGAGATTTAGAGGAGTGTGTATGTGTTTTAGAGAGTAGTTTAAAAAAGGGATCGGTGTCTCGGATCGGGCACTCCAAAAACCCATTCGGATTGGTGAATCGGCGATCCGGATCGAGAATCCCAATCGGTCGGATTGGGAATCGATTGAATCGGTCAGATTAAGCTTTAAAAAAAATATTAAAATTCATTATAAATGTTGACTTTTAGGAATCCAATAAGAAATGAGGGTACTATATTATTAACTTGCATTTTTTCAACAATTTGTGAATATTGAGATGTTCTTCCCTGAATAAATTTATGTTAACCATTAAATTTACATCACACACAAAAAAAATCATAGAATTATCATGGATAATATATATAATCATACATGGATTACAATAAAGAGTAGACTAAATCGATGAAAAAATGACCACTAAAAGCTCGAATTGGCAGAAAATCTAATCCGCTAAAAAAACCCAAATTATTACAACCTAACTATATTACAAAATTATTACAACTTGACTAACTATAATATTATATACTGAAATTAAAATTGTTGGTTTACATTTTATAATTATTTTATTATACAAATAATTACAAATTCAAAATATTTTATATTATCATTAATTTAAAATGTATTATTGACAACTGTAAGAAAAATAGTACATCACATGATTTATAGTGCAAAAATTAATAAATAAAATAAAATATTTGGTTATCAATATAGAAATTATTAGAATGCATACCAATTTTTGAAACTTTAATTTTTCAAAAATTTAATTTTTTGGGTTTCTAAAATACATTTAGTGATAGAGATTGTTAGTAGAAAGAGAGAGATTTCAAATAGAATAAAATTTTTATTTTTTATTTTCTTTTACGACATTATTTTCTGCTTTCTTTTTTTTTTGCAACAAAAATTTGTGGGTTTCTAGAATAAATTTAGTGATAGAGATTGTTAGTAGAAATAGAGAGATTTTCTAGAATAAATTTAGTGATAGAGATTCTCAGTAGAAAGATAGAGATATCAAATAGAATAAACTTTTTATTTTTTATTTTCTTTTACGACATTATTTTCTGCCTTTTTTCTTTTTTTACAAAAAAAATAAAGTAGATAGCCCCCAGGCAAGGTTTTGACTTTGAGATGTCCAAGGAGAAAGTAGAAGTGATAACCATCAACACCACATCACAACATATAACATTATGTTCTATATTAATAGTATATAATTAATTTCTGTCTTAATTTAATGCACGCACAATGTTTGTGGAAATTATCTCACATCCAAGGAAAGTATTACATTTTCCTCTATAAATAACTATATAATAACGAACTAGGTGCACGTGTGAGAGTGCGTGGGCAGCCCAATGTTTGAGAGGAGGTGTCACGCGTTGCCGCGATGCTGCAGGTATGAGCATCGTGGCTACGAGGTTGTGCCACTTCCGGTTCTCTCTAGACACGAGCGATTCCGTGCATTTTGCTGGAACCGGCACGGGGGTGCCGATTCCCAAGTTGAATCGGACCTTGTTCGAGCCAATTTTTGACAATTTTTCAAAATGGGCGGCTCCGTGTTTTTGCTAGAACCGACACCCCCATTCCCGAGTTTGCTGGAACCAGCACGGGGGTGTCGATTCCCAAGTCGAACGGGGTAAGTCCGGTTCGACTCGCCGATTTTTTACAACGAGCGGTTCTGTGTGTTTTGCTGGAACCGGCACGGGGGTGCCAATTCCCGAGTCGAACCGAGTGAGTCCATATCGACTCGCCGACTTTTCAAACATTGGTATATACACATGAAATCCTCAAAGGATCCATTAAAACACAATTGGTAAACCCGTAATAAAATAGTAAAAGTAACAAAACTAAATATTATAAAATAACAATATAATAATATTATGTTAATTATAATAATTTTAATATTTGAGTCATCGTTTAT